GGTGGGAGCGTGTGCATTTATCAGACGGTAATTAAATAATGTTCCACATATTCTAAGAACACATATTCTCTGATCTATAGCGTCAAAACCTAGTATTAGGATAATTACTCTTTTGCTAACTACAAAGCCTACACCAAAGATATTTGATTTGCATTTGATGGCAGCTATAGTATATTGTACTCAGATTCTTCTGGATAGTACCGCTCTCTTTCCAACATACCTCGTGTATAGCTGATACGTCCATATTATATTTGTTAAGAGTATCTAAGAGACATTTGATCGCTCCTGCAGATTACCATGTTCTCACGTTCTGTGATCCAAATCAAATATCTTTTTTCGTTTTCCAGATCGTCTACATAAGGTCCGTCCGGTTTTTGTTTTTTCAGCTCTCGTAACAATGCTTTTTTGCATGGTAGGGGGTTGTTAGCCCTACGCCCAACCCCTATACTCCGAAGACCAGGGACTCTTCTGTTAGGGTTACCTTACCTTAGTCTGTTTTGGCACACTTCCGATGGGAAACAGACAACTCCACACGGATCGCATAAAACTCCTCAGAATAAATTGATAGTAGAATATAATCTCTCGTTAACTAATGATCATTAGCATTAGATAAATCCCCAATTTCTAAATAAATAATAAATTAATTAAAGAACAAATTAATAACAGTTTTGACGAAATTGTGAGTAAATACAGATTTAAACAAATCTTGCATTCTCCCGCTCTTCAGCTGCATCCAAACTCAAGTCACAAGTTGTTAACTCATTATCGCCAGAAAATAATAAAGTAGCAATAAAAGACTCTTTAGCGTCTATCCATCCTCTTAAAATTATCTATACTGCGGATTCTTTGGTCTATGCTATTCAAAACTCTTTCAATAGTGTAATTGCACTGGAAGTGTCCAGTACTGTGATCTGGATTCCATCTCATATGGAAATACCTGGCAAAGAACTCACCGACCTTTCTGCAAAATAGCCGCTGAAAAAAGAGTCGCTCTTAATTCGACGACTCAGAATAAGCCGTATAAACCAGTTTATCTGTGAAAAAATCATTGATTTCACGTAAAAATATACAAATATTTGAAGGTTCTAACAGGTATATGAGCTTCATAGAATATACCAGAAACCTGATATAATACATATTAAGATAGGATGTCTGAGGTGGATAGGGCGTGTAATGCAGATGAAACAACTGACCCAGCTAGAAAAACTCTCCTTGATATACCCATTGGTCAGATAAGAAGAGGAAGACCCTGAACAAGGTTTCTTGATAACATCGATGAAGACATGAGAAATATGGGAATACGTGCTTGACGGAGAAAGGCGATGGATAGGGACGACTGGAGAGAAATTCTTGAGGAGGCTAGGACCCACGCATGGTTGTAAAGCCAGAATGATGATGAAAAGGTTTATGAGAGGAAGCGTGAAGACGTATAGCTGATTTTGCTTTGTGTTTTTTTAAACAATCTTAAAAAGTGAAAAAATATCTTTTGACTATAAAACGTTTCTTATACATTCTAGAGAAAAAATGATTCAAATAAATTTATGGTTGTAGATCATAAAAAGTTCTTTAATTTTGAGAATTTTCAAATTAAAATACATAAACAATTAACCGAGATAATAAAAAACCCTTATTTTTGTAATAATTTATAAATTTTAACTTTTATTGGAACTGTTGGGCATTGTTGACTGTTATGGCAAGTACAGTTGTCTAAATAATCGCTCTCAGTGATAAACAAATTACAAAATAAACAAAACAAAGTAAATGACTTATAAACCATTTGGTCGATCTGCTTGAAATTTAGCACATTTTAATAACTTATTAACTGCCACAGTTTTGAGTAGCATATTTCATGTCATGATGCAAAAAACAAAGATATTAATATAAAGATATTATATTAATATATATATATATATATATATATATATATATATATATATATATATATATATATAATATATGAAATAACAAGAAGTCGAGAGACCTCTCTGATAACAAATTATTTTGGTTATTATGACGAATAACCCGAAACACGTGTCGGGCAATGGTGGAGTTTGAAATAAAATGCAATCTTTTACTTTCATATTAATATATATATATATATATATATATATATATATATATATATATATATATATACATGTCAAAAAATTTGGAATACGTACAAATAATATATCTACGCCTATGGTGGTCTTTGTTTAAATTTGAATTGAGCCGTTTAAAAATTCCTAGAAACGTGATATCTTATTTTGACAGATCTAGAGTAATTGCTTTGTTACAACAGTTCTGTAGTTATATTGCGATACAATTGTTGATGTTACTCAGAGTGCTCTATCGAAAATTTAAAAAAAATTCAAGATACAAATGACGTCAACGATTGTCCCAGAAGTGGTAGAAGTCGAACTACAACAGCAGCACAAGGCCGGCAAATACCATTGATAGCTCGTAGAAATCGTCTGGAACCTACAAGTGGAATCTCCAGAGAAATTTCTAGGCTTCAAGGGCTGTGAGAAAAGTGTAGCATTTAACTAGACGTAGTTTTAGGGGAAGAGACAAATCTTTGCTTATGAGGAGCTTTTTCATATTGTTAAATGCTGCTCTAGCTCGTTCTATTCTCGCCTTAATTTCTGTGGCCTGTTCCCATTTTGCATTTACGTTGGTGCCAAGGTACACATAAGATTCTACATGGTCAATTAGTATGTTACTTAACCGTAATTGTCGAGCAAGTTGTTGCTTTTTGCTTATCAGCATCCACTTTGTCTTCTTGAAATTGAGGCTCAGGTCGTATTCCTCACTAACTGAAGAAACTCTTTCCATTACCTGCTGTAATTCGTCTATGGTACTGGCAAGGATCACCGTGTCGTCGGCAGTAGTAGTTCCGAAGAGCAGTAGGTGATGAATTTGTGTTTATGTATGACAACGCACCTCCTCACCGAACAGCAGCAGTATACAATTTTCTGGAAGAAGAAGGAATATCTACATTACAGTGGCCCTCGAATTCCCCCGACATTAACGTTATTGAACATGCTTGGGACATTCTCAAAACATGCATTAAGAAGCGAAACAATTCCCCTATTACACTTCGAGAACTGAAAGATGCTGCTCGTGAAGAATGGGAGAGAATTCCGCAAGCCCAGCTCGACCAGTTAATCAGCAGCATGCCAACTCGCCTATAGACATGCGTACAGGCCAATGGAGGAAATACTAATTATTAGTTTTATTAAAAATGATTTTTTTCTATACTAATTTATTTTTAAATGTAAGTTGTACATTGTAAGTTTTTCACTCCCAAGAGACTAAATAATTTTTTTGCATATTTACTTAATATAATTTATACTTACTATACTTAAGATTTACTTAATATTTTTAAGAATTGAGAAAAAAATATGTTTAACTATTCAGAAGTTTATATATAAAAATCAATAAAAAGATGAAATATTCCAATATTCCAAACTTTTGGACATATGTGTATACAAATTACTACAAAAAGTATTGATAAGGGAACCGAGATAAAAGAAACGTTTTATAATCCACAAGGAATCTACGTTGCTGTAGTTGGCTGCATACCATATATTAAAAAAAATTATTAAAATCCTTTGTAAAAGGTATATATTTAAAAACCCAATATATTTTAAAACCCAAACGGGTTATGTTAGACAAAACGTTTTCGGAATCTATATTCCATCATCAGTGTCTAGGAGTACATGAATGTAGCCACTAATATATGGGTAAAAACCTGTTAATAAATAATTAGTTACATTTGGTTTACAGAAATACTGTAGGTTTTTAAATATATACCTTTTACAAAGGATTTTAATAAATTTTTTTAAACGTTTTATACGCAAAAAATATTCACTTTTTAAGATAGTTAAAAAACTAAAGCACAATTAGCTATACGGTTGCACGCATTTTATTAGCTACCCCTCATATACCTTTTAGAACCTTCAAATATCTGCGTTATGATTTTTTCAGCTTTGTTCTTCCTTGACTGGGGTAATATAAGATTTATTCTAGCCGTTAAACATATACTTGTGGACTGTCTTTATTTCAGTACAAACCTTATCAATTACGTGGTAAAGCCAAAATCAGTCTTTACTAGGAAATTTAGAAGAAGAGGTATTCATAACTATTAATTGTACCAATATTTAATTCAGTTTTCGCTTCGATTGTAATGTAACTGTGTACCGTAATGTAATAAAATTGTACTTGTGTCTCGTGAATACTTTCCTATGGAATCAATTTATTATAGTTCTTTTTTAAATATCCGTTATCGATCACAAGAATTATAATTATCGTACCTACCGGTTATTTGTAGATATAGATAAAAGCTGTTTATTGTTTTACGGTGTTACTCACTTTTTTATTGTTAGATTTGTTTATTTTGATCGCTAAATTTACAGCTTTGTTGTCTGCACTGAGTGTTGCTTGTTAATTTCTTGATGGTGAAAGTTTTGCTGATTTTACTCACAGTTTCGTGTTAGATTTGGAATTTAGAGAACTTTTGTTTCATACAAAAGAAATAACGGAGAAATTTCTGTTTTAATATTTCCCCTTTATATATTTTTTCATTTCAGCAATAGTTGGACTACGTCCACTCACTCACTAACAATTACTTTAAAAATATGCTTATTTTTAATGTGCTTTAATTTTAGAGCATTTTTAACTTCAGCAATATGCAAATTAATACTTTAGTGTGTTTTTATTTGGAAAAATTTTTAATTAAACACTGTACACAGCAATGACTTGTTTAAATAACATATATGAATTGTTTAAATATATTTTAATTTCTTCCTATAATGTTCGTATTTACAGTTATTTCTATGTATACTTGTCGACATTTTAATGTCAAAATTCTACTTTTCCGTTTTTTAAATATTTATTGATATTATTTTACGTCGTCCAGTAATCTTTATCTGTAGAACCGTCATATGAGTTTTCAGGTTTCTGAAAACATTTTTCCATTACAAACACAAGATAAAATTTCAGTTGTTTTTAACTTCCAGAATTAGACGTTGAAAAAATCGAAGATTATAAGGAAGAGATTATCTGCCTTAAGAAAAAAATAGATAGTGGGCATAAAGCTTTTAAAGAAATCGAAAATAGAAATACCCTTCTTGAGATGGAAACCCGGACACTCGAAACATATAAAAAGGAAATGGATGAAATGAAGAAGACGATAGCTGCATTGCAAAACGATAAGAAGGTGAACGAATTGGAAAGTGAATTAGTAAAAGAGAAAGAAAAAAATGTGTCTTTAATAAAACAATTGCAGGTAAGATTTTTATGAAATTAAAAAATACTGAAGCTTAGAAATAGTTGAGATTATTACAGTTTTTGTGCACACACTTGCTTGTGCTCTCAGTAATTCCAAATTTTTAAATATAGTAAACTTTAATTAGTAATAATTAACACACTGTTTCTCCAAAACCAAAGGAATATCTAACGACAATAAACTAATGAATATTTCAGTTTTACAACACAAAAAAAAACTTTTGTGTACATCTTTATAGTGTATTTTTATGTATGAGAGAGTAATAAAACAATAAATTATGTATGCAAATCCCTAAACTGTTGATACGGGTGACTCAATGAAAAACAGATATTTGTCAACAAGTTTACAGAAGTATATAGGAAAACAATTTTAAATTGAATATGACCACCAGGTATAAAGGTTGGAGCAGAATAGAATACAATAGTTGTGAGGGTTACTAATCCCTAAATAAGGTTGCCAGTGTCGGAGTGATGGAGGTTAACAGGTACTAATGAATTTGCAAGAAATGTAAGATGTTTATTTTATTGGTTATATATAACCAATAAAACCAATAAAACTTTTCTATCAGTAATAAAACAATGGATATTTTGGCTATAAACATTATCCACTTACTTTTTACTAATTTACATTTAATGTAGTTTTCATATACCGACCTCCGATCACAGTACTTAATCAGAACATCGACAAACTTAAAGAATTATCATCATTTGAAAATCTCATTGTCGAAGATTTTAATTTCCAGATATTAACGGGTCTATTAATGTATTTAGAAACTTCTTGAACTCAATTTTAATACAACTTATAACTGAAGCTACAAGGTTTTTGGATCAACAATAATCCTTCAATTCCAGAGCTAGTTTTATTTATTTTTGATCACTTGCTTATTACAGCTCACACTAAATTTAGCTTAACACTGCTTTGCAAAAACAGTTTTGTAACTACTGATTTCTTTAATGTTAATTCTCTTTTATTCTAGATCGGCTGGCAAACTATTTTTGTTGTGGCACAGATTCATCGTCAATGGGAGACTCTTATTTACACTGCTATTACAACTATTTCTGTTCAGTGAACTGTACAAAAAAACAATTAATATCTTAAATTAGTTTTACTGCTACACGCCTAATTCGATATAAGCGGAAGCTTTGATAAACATAAATGCCCTAATTTATAGTATAATCTAATTTTTTATGCATCAAGTCATGAATGAGTCAAGAAATCTCTGCTAAACCTAAAAACATAATTTAAGTAGTCTATCATTGCAAGTGTAATTATAAAAAAACTTACCGTAAGTAACTTACCGTAAGTAAGTACTTAACAAGCCTACATTCGAATATCTTTATCATCCAAAGTCCCCATAAGAATACTTCAAAAAGCTGACGGGTCTTTAAGTTCTTCGAATAAAGATTGGAATCTTTACCGTTATTTTTCCCTCCGGTTTTTAGAAATAAAAGCAATAAACTAGATTACATATAATTATCCCCTAATAAGATCAAGGAATCCATTATTTTTTAAGTTATTTCTTGAGTTTCTCCTTCAAGAAAATTTGATCCCTCGTCATCAACACAGCTTTATCAGGGGTCTTTCAACGATCATAAACCTACACCATTGCATCAAAGATTAGTGGACATCCTGTTAATTGGAAAAAAATTAATATTTTATTGTATAGCTACAAATTATTTTACTCGATTCATGTCATAGAAGTACTCAAAACATTCTAACGAATCTTTCAGTAGATAAAAGTCAACATAGTAAATAATTTTTTTTGTTCTACTTATTCCTTGCGACTAATTCGAAATATCTTGGAGTTTACATTTCGACTCACAAATGGAAAAGTTAGTTCACTAAGTAGTTAATATATTGTTTTTATTTTTTATCTGATTGTAGGAGTCAGAAAATATCGTAACAGAAAACCAGGAACTCAAAGAATTGCGGACAAAGTTCTGGCGAGTTGAGAGGGAATTGGGCAATGCAAAAATAGATAAACGAATTTTAGAAAGGGAACTGAAAGATGCTCAAGTTGAAATCAAGCAATTATCCGAAAAAGTACACGATTTTGAAGAAAACAGCAAAAAGGTGAAGAATGTTCAGGAAGCTGCTTTATTAGAATTAAATAACATAAATGAGTCTTTAACATTGGAGCTTATAAAAGTCAAGGATGAATGTAGGTATGTTAAATTTTGTTTTTTTATAATGATTTATATAAATTTTGGTTTGTGAATTTTGAAATCCTACCGATCTTATACTAGTATTTATATTGCCAGATTTTACGTTTTTCTGGAAATATAATGAAGTTTGGTATTTCAAAGAGTATGTCTTTTTGCAATTTCTGAGTTATAGCTAAATTTATATTATATTATCCCAAGTTAAAATGACATATTACGATGGCTATGACTGCAACAATAACAACTTTGACGTCTTAATATGTGTAGTGTCCACGTGTGAGTAAGTTGGTAAACAAGTTTAACTGAACTGGAGCCGTAAAAGATTTATTTATTCAAATCCGGACGCAGAAAAAATTCCTCAAATGAAGATAAATTTTTAGATATTTGTGTAAAGGTGCAAATAAAAAATGTGAAATGCGCAACCAAGCCTTTCAAAATCAGGATCGTCTTGATTTTTAGCTCGTGCAATTATCGCGCGGGGAAGAACGACAGTGTATGCGCAACAAGTATCTGCATGTTTCATTTCCAATCAGTGCTGTACGACTGCTCGTTGGATGTTGCATATTATTTGGCATTTTAGCAGACCTAATGCCTGAGCTTAAATTATTGTTAAACATTTTTAATCCTCATAGCATCTTCCAGTTGCCAAAAATCTTAATGTTGCAGTTAGCTTTCATGTGCCATTATAACCTGCCGCATTCACGTGTTCTGTTTTTGTATGAAAGGAGTTACTAAAGATAATAGTTTAAAATACGTATCTTGATCCATTCTCAAGTAACTATGCCAATCTGACAGATCAAGTCGCAATTCTTCCAGTAAACTGACATGAAAAAACGTAGCTTGTTTTTGTAACCAAGCCTTTGTCCATTGCGACGTTGGTTTTCTTTTAATACGACACCTTTCTTTAACACAAACTGGTGTATGTCGGCCTGAAGTGTTCGGGTTTACCTTACTGAAAACATGCAGAGACTTAATTGCGCATTGTTCGTTCTTGGTAAGTGGGGACCTTAATGTTAAAAGTGTGCCACACTTAAGTGCTAGACAAATATCCAGGGAACTTGATATTACGCAATAATGCGTGTAATGAGAATATGAGTAATACATACCAAGTAAGTTTGGTTTAAGAGTTGTCAGATGAACATTTTGATAGACTTGAAGCGTTTGCAGACATAATTATGGAAAAATGTTACTATCTAATTTTTTTAAATAATGGTATATTTTGCGACGAGGCCACTTTTGTTATTAATGGAAACTTAAATCGGCATAATTGTAGATACTAGTCACGTAATAATCCTCCTTAGATGCGTGAATTCCACACATAGTATCCAGAAAACCTTAATCTAAGTGCTGTAATAATAGACGATTATATAATAAAACCCTTTTTCATTGAAGGAAATTTAAATGGTCCAGCGTATTTAACTTTATTGGAAAAAGGTGTTTGTTGTGCCTGAGTTGTTTCGGTTATTTCCAAGCCCAAGTAAGTATTTTACATTGTATGTAACAATAAAACACTGAAAACTTTGTTTTCAAACTTCCACAAAATTTATTTTAAATATTATCACTACAGCTGTTTCGGCGATTGCCTTTCTCAAGTGATCTATTTTGGCTGGGGTTTACAAATTTATAGTCTCTAATGAAATAGGTTGAGGAGGGGAGAACTGTTTGTCTCAAGTTGGTCATTCAGAATTATATCTGTGTTTTTTAATTTGTTGATTTCCATAGATTCTAACAAAGATAGCTTAAGGCCTTTATTTTGAATGTGAAGAATTTTAAATTTGTCATTAAAAGAATGATTATGATCTAGAAGGTGAAGTGCGTATGTCGAATCTGTTTTTCTATTCTTGAAAGCCCTTTTATGTTCTGCTATTCGTTTATCAAAGTTTCTACCAGTTTGACCGATGTAAGTTTTTGGGCAGTCGCCACATTGAAGTTTGTACACACCACTATTTAAGTGTTTTTTATTTTGGCTCTTGTTATTTTTAATATATTTGCCTAGGTTGTTATTTGTTCGGAAAGCTGGTGTTATTCCTTTCTTTTTTATGTGTTTGGCAATTTTTGTTGTTATTTTGCCTGTATATGTAATCGAGCAGAAGGTACTGAGTTTTTTCTCTGGTGGTGGAAATACTAATTTCAGGGCTTTCTTGTGTAGTTTTTGATTTAACATTTTATTGATTGTTTGTTCGTTGTATCCGTTATTTACTGCTATTTGCTTAATTATATTTAATTCTGTCTCAAAGTTGTATTTTGACATCGGAATTTCTGTTAATCTATGTAACATACTATAATAAGCTGCCAGTTTATGTTGTGTTGGATGGGATGACGAATTGTGTATAGTCGTGTCAGTATGGGTAGGTTTATGAAATATGGAGAAGTCATGTTTGTTTTGAAGTCTGCTAATTTTTAGATCTAAAAAATTTATGGATTGATTTTGTTCTGTTTCTATTGTAAATTCAATATGACTATGAAGTGAATTAATATACGATAAAAATTGGTCGAGTTGCCTGTTAGTTCCTGTGAAACATACCAGTACGTCGTCTACGTATCTCCACCAATATAAAAACTGTTTGAATACGGGATGTTTTGAAATCTTTGTCTCTAGATGATCCATAAAAATATCTGATAGCAATGGGCTTAGAGGATTACCCATTATAAGTCCTGCACTGTTATTTGTATATATTTTATTATTAAATTCAAAGTAGTCCTTAGGTTTATGCAAACTTCAAGAAGATGTAAAATTTCAGATGTAATTATTGGATTTGTACTATTTTGGTCTAAAAGGTTTTTTACTAGAATAAAAGTTTCTGTAGGAGGGATACTAGGAAAAAGATTTTTTACGTCAAATGAAAATAATCTGGAGTTGTTAGGTAATTGAAAATGTTGTATTTTATTAACTAGTTCTATTGTATTTTTTATGGTAAATTTAGGTGAAAATTTAGTTTGTTCTAAAATAATCTCTAACAGTTTTTTTGAAATTTTATATGACGGAGCTGTATAAAAAGAAACTACAGGTCTTATTGGGTGGTCCGGTTTGTGTAGTTTAATGAAAGAGTATAGTTTAGGAGGCTGTGGGTTCATGATATTGAGGTATTTCTGTTCTATTGGATTTAGTATTGATTTTGAATTTTCTAACGCTAGCTTAATTTGTTTTTGATATTTTTCTGTCGGATCTTTGTGTAAAGTTTCAATGTTTTGATTATTTAAGAATTCTATTGTTTTGTTATTATATTCTATTTTATCTATAGCAATAGTAGTGTTACCTTTGTCTGCTTTTGTAAACACAATGTTGTTTTCTATTGATTTATTTTTAATTGAAATTGCTGTTTTATTCTCTTTGTAACAGGAATTCTTAGTTTCACTACACCCATCTGTAATAGATTTGGCAATTATATTTTTTCGATATTGTTAGCAGTTTTGTTTAACGCTACTTCACATTCTACACCTAAATATTCTAAAGTTCTCTCATTATTATGTTGGGGCAAGTTGTGTTTAAACCCTTTCTCTAAAAGTTGTATCTCGCTGTTACTAAATTTAGTATCTGTTAAATTTATAAATCTATTGAAAAAAGTATGGTTCGAAAAACTTTTTGTATAATGAATATTGGGTTTTTTACTATTGGAAATTAGATTATTTAGTTTTTTACACTGTGTATTGAATTTTTTATCTATTATATTATCTATATTAATTCTCACGTTAGAATCTAGGATGTCAAATTCTATATTATTTAATCTATAATTTAATTCTGAATGACATACCTTAAGATAAACAGCTATTATATCCCGCTTCTTGTATTGGTATTTTCTGTCTTGTTTAAGCCATCTGGTCTGACCGTGATGAATTCCTTTTTGTGTAGCGGGGCTGTGGTTTTTGATTTTTAACTGAATATATTTCGGGAACACTTTATTTTGTAAACACATATTTAAAAACCAGATGTTTTGTGTCGCCAGTCTAGTAGCCAGTCTGAAACATAGATCATCAGCCGAAACAGCTGTAGTGATAATATTTAAAATAAATTTTGTGGAAGTTTGAAAACAAAGTTTTCAGTGTTTTATTGTTACATAAAATGAATTTCCATCAAGTAACGAATCCATCAATTAGTTTACATTGGCTTTTTAATTTTAAAATTTCATTATTTGAAACTTTCAGACAATAACAATTCCCTAAACACCAGTATTTCGCTGCAACGTGATGGAGGTCCACCTCGCTATGCGCGTGACGTTAGATATTACTTAAATAATGTCTTATTATATTACTTAAATAAATGTAAAAAATGTAAATGTAAAAAAAAATGATCGAATGGCCCCCGCGATCACTCGATATGAATACTTAATGCATTAATTTGCATTAATGCATTAAGATGGTTATAATTGAATACTCTAATATACTAATATACATAAATGCCATAACTCCGAAGTTATGGCATTTATGTATATGGAATATTACATAAAAAATATTCAGTAATTTTTAAGCATTTTAAAAAGAAAAACATATACAAGGTATAAAAAATTTATTTAAAATCGTTTATAAAAGGTATATATTTAAAACATCCAATCGGGTTATATCACAAAACGTTTTCGGAATCTATATCCCATAATATTCCGCAAACGTTTTGTGATATAACCCGATTGGGTGTTTTAATTATATACCTTTTATAAAGGATTTTAAATAAATTTTTTGTGATACATGGTATACAGTCAGATACAGGAACTTAGTTTCCTTGTGGATATACAAGGTGATCATATACATTTAAATTATCAAAGTTCATTATGTTTCTAGAAAAAAGGAAAATGTGTACACAATTTAAATACTACCATAAGATCAACCTTCAAAAACCCAAACAAACCAAAATTTATATGAATAGTGCCAGCCGTTTCCGAGATAATTGATGCATTGCATACTTAAAACTAACTCTCTATAAAGCTATACACCAACATCTGATGAATATTTTATTTGGACCCAACTCTCTTGTATAGTGAGATTGAACCCTGCCTTAGCAACAGCTGTTTTACTATGCTAAAGATTCGTGTGTAGAACCCTCATTTGAATCTCTCCTTGTTCTAGTAGCTGTACATATTACTTCTTTTGCAGCCCATTTCACTGTTAACTTTATTTTTTCCTCGTTAATTCCTTTCTCTAGTATGCGTTGCCTTACTTTTTCCTGGAAAGTTCTTCTAACTTTTTCGTTTTCTAGGACCTTGATCTTATATTTAACTTGTTTTTTTTCTTCTCTTCTCTGTGTACTGCTATTTTTTTTTTGATACTCACAGCGTATCATTTAGTTGTCTGAATAAACTTCAGCAAATGAGGTTCTAAAACTGTTTTCTTGTGGTATGTCTAAGTTAAATATTGTGTTTATATGGAATTAAGCCACAATTGATTGTAATTAAAATTCATTTTTGAATAACTAAAAATGTTTAATCAAATTTTTAATCGAAAATGTAATTTTATCAACTTTAATATCATACTTATATATTTAATAATCAACTTTATTCGGAAGACAAACAATATTACAATACTTGTTTACAATAATTCAATGATAACTATAAACTTCAAAAACTCAAATACTACTCTTCTAAACTGTCGCACCACCGTAAGTCGTTCAAAAGATTCTCTGGAAAGATATTCTGTCATTTTACCAAGACTTCTTGTTCATAAATCACATTTCTTATACCAGTCTTCTACATCTCGTCGGCAATTGATCCAGTAAAATCTATCTCGAACTCTGGCAAGTGTTCTTTTAACTCCGATATGTCCTCCCAAAAGGCTGCTATAAAGTTCTTGTAACACACTTTTAATGTGTGATTTTGGCAGTACCACTTGCTGCACTGTACGTATTCCATCAGGACTTTTCCACTTCCGATACAATAGACCATTGGAAAGATACAGAGATTCCTATTAAGTCCAGCACGCCTTTATAGTTCTACTGTATTTGGTTATTTCCTGACAAATATGGTTTTACTCAATTTTTAAGCCATTCTCGTATGACTTTTAAGACCATTATCTTCTTCCTGTATAACTGTGATCCTCCGGAGACTTACTTATTCGATTACATTCTCTTTTTCTTCAAGGTGACACTGATTCTGCAAGATTCACACTTGTTCTCTTAGCTTTTCTATTTCATTTTTACCAATCGTCAGTTGCTTCAAATGTACAACTTCAGATTGCAAAATATATTTTTCCCTTCTGTGGTCACTTGTGGGAAATCGATTTCTTGGAGACATATTTCTACTAGTATTTCTAGTAGGAATTATGACGGGCTTCCAAATGTTGATCTGGGCGACCTTCAGACCTCATTGGTTCTTCTGTCCTTGCCTGGAATCGGCTTCTGCAATTATTTTATAAATGTCACATTCTTCCGCAATTAAAACATCTTCTGTTGCCATTTTGAGTTTTTTTGAAGATTTTGCAGTATGCGTAGCATTTGGGATAAAATGGGTTGTAAATTATCTGCGGTAGTGGCTTCTTCATTTTTTTTTTGAAATCTTATTTCTTTTAATTTTGGGCGGGATCTGAAAATGCTTTTCGCCGCTTCATATTCCTGGGCCGAGATTAGTGCTCCGTTTACTGTTTTGTGATATAATCTTAGAGCCTGTTGCATGTCAAAATCGTGTTGTCCATCTATGAATGCCTGTATAAAAATTTGTTCCAGAAAATCCGTAGATGCCTAAGCTTGAACGAGAGAGCTATAACTGGGTTCATCCTGGGAAAAAAATTGCAAGGCGGCTGCTTCCTGTCCTCAAAGCAACACTACCGAGAAAGCTGTTATTTCTTTTTCAGTCCAGCCATTTGCTTTAGGTGCTGCTTCGAATTGAAAACGATAAGTTTCCCATGCTGTTTGAACATCGAGTGGTTGGTTTTAAAATTTTGCTATTTTTAATTGTGCCTGGTTCAACTATCGAGGATGATGAAGCTGTTTGTTCAGATTCGAGATTAGTTACTGAAACAATATTAAATAATGAAGTTTGGGTATTAATTTTTCGTTCTAATTCAACTATATGTCTTTCTAAATTAAATTTATAATCATTTTGAAGGTGTACTATTATATTTTCCAAAAAATTTTTAAACTGGTTTTGTTGTGTTATTTTATTTTCTAAATCATTCGGTTTTTCTTCTAATTTATCTATTCTAATAATAATTTGACTTACCTCTAACTGAAAATTTTCTTGAATTTTAGATAAACTATTTATGATTTGTACCACTATTTTTCTACGCCTCTCGTCCTCTTCTTGTCTACGCTTCTCTTTTATCTCTTTCTCTTCTAGTTTGCACTTCTTCAGTTCTTCCTCTTGTCTACGTTTCTCCTCTTATCTACGCGTTCCCTTTCCTATTTCCTATTTCCTATTTCTCTTCTTGCCGACGTTTTTCTTTATCTTTTTTTATTTTTAAAAATTATGCAGGGAGTCCGGACGTATCTATTTCTTTATTAAATTCGGTAGATCTGGTATTAACCATTCACAATTGTTTATTATTTCTTTAATATCACAGCTGTCACCAACATTGCAATTATTCTTTGAAATCAACTTTATTCGAAACACCAACAATTTTACAGTACTTGTTTACAATAATTCAATGACAACTATAAACTTCAAAAACTCAAATACTACTGTTCTAAAGTGTTCCAAACATAGGTTTTCTGACGTTACAAACTTCACTAAACATTTCATGATGTTATCTTGAATGTTCTTGAACTTCTTTTTTTCGTCAAGGGACTTTTTTATGTGGGATAAACCTTTCGGAACTTTCATAACAATATTCAATTTCAGCTAATCTGCATGTCTGTATATTCTGTACATGTGTTGCTTGTTTTGTGCAAATAATGATATGGCCTATCTGGTTTTTTTATTCTGTCTGATGAGCACCACATCATCTGAATATTTTTCCTAGGCCACATTGTCAAGACATTCCACACTATTATCTCAATATACAGACTGTTCCTTCATATCCTCCTCCTCCTCAGTACTAATCCCTTTTGGGATGTGGTGACACCATCAGGCCTTCACCGTTTTTTTAGGATTTTCCTCCATCCTTCTCTGTCCTGAGCTAGTTGTTCGGCTTCATGTAACCCTTGGGTAATCAATGTTTTTGTTTAATCTACCCAACGGCTTGGAGATCTTCCCCTGTCATATCACCTTCTTGTAAATAGATGGAGCGAACTAGTGGTAGTTAAACGAAAAAAAAATTGATAAAAAAAATTATAGGCAGCACAACAAAATAGGGTAGAAAAGGAACGCCAAGTAGGATGGTGGTAGACGAATAAACAGGTCATGATTGTGAAAGGAGTAATATTCGTATGGCTATCTCATAAAACTTGTAGTCCAACAGTCGATTGTAAGTGTTGTTATTTTTGGTATTATAGATTATCTTCTGACAAAGCACTATCAATATCAAAATCAATATCAAATCAATATCAAAATCAAGCAGTACGTATAACGTGTATAGCCGATTTTAAGTGCTATTTAACAATTTAATAAGTGCAGTTGTTAATTACCTCTTAGCAGCTACTCTCTAAATGTTTTTTTAATTTTTTTTAAGAATTGTGGAAGAAACTCTAAAGAAAGAAAAATTGAAATTTGAAAACGAAAAATCTACAATTTTCGAACTAAACAATATAATACGATCAAAAGACGATCAGATCAACTCTTTGAATTCTGATTTTAATTTGATAAAGAAAGAAAGGAACAACTTAGAAAATCAAATTAAAATATTAGAAAACAGCAAGTGTGAATTGGTGTATTTAATGGAATCGTTACAGAAAGAAAAGGGAGATATTTTGAATGAATCCAATAAAATTAGAAGAGAATTGCAAAATACAAATTTGGTAAGTGGATTCTTATTATTTACTCATATTTTCTTCTTAACTGTTTTGTTAATTGTAGATAATAGTTTCTTTAATTTAATTTCTCAATAGAAAATGTATATATTGTTTTTTTTTCCTTTTTATAGTGAAAATTTATATAACAGACACGGGGAAATAAAATCATTTAAAATTAAATAATAGTATGAAAGGGTATATACAGAATAGGTAAAAGTTTATGGTCGGTATGGACCTTACGTGAGATGGAGTGAGAAACACATATTTAAAAAGAGAGAGGTATATTAGGTCCCTCTTTATATCGCCGAACATGCATGCGTGGATATAATAAAAAAGGGGTTCAACGTTGCCAAACTTATTGGTTTTATTTGTCCTGTTGTCTATTTAGCATTTGAACAATATTTTAAGATAATCAAATTTGGGCGAAATGGATTTAAATGGCACCTTACTGTTTTTTCTTGGGAATATGCCACAATTTTACTTTAAAATAAGTGTAATATAACATTTTGATTTCCACTTCGGAAATCGTTTTATATAAATAAAATTTATTAATGTTTCGTATTTTAAGTACGATTTCGGAATTAAAAATCTAAACATCAAAATAAGCTTATTTTAAAGTCACATGGTGCCTTATTTCCAATATAAAATAATAAACTGCATATAACGTCACAATAAAAAATATTCATAGAGAATTATTTGGCAACGTATCATGTAGCGTGGTCAAAGCACCGAATCAAAGTAGGGAACAGCTAACGAGTAGTAGAGGTGAGTCGTTGACGTTTTTATAGTTAAGGGCACAGGCGCAAGATTTCGGACCAATGCTTTTTAAATGCATTCATTTTTTTCGAATCCTGAGAAAACTAATAAATATTTTTAAAAAATTTAAACGCAGAATGAAAGAATACATTATTACCGAGGGCCTAAAGTCCCTGAAAACTTCTATAATGTTTATTTTAATAAGTTACAGGGGTGAAAAAAAGAGAAAATTTAGTCTAATTGATCTCATTCAAAAAAACTTTTTGTTTATTCTAAGGGACTTTCGGCCCTCAGTAATAATGTAATCTTTCATTCTGCGTTTAAATTTTTCAAAAATATTGGTTAGTTTTCTCAGGATTCGAAAAAAATAAATGCATTTAAAAAGCATTGGCCCGGAATTTTCCGCCTACGCTCTTAACGCAACTAAACCGATTTTCGTAAACAAGTAACTATGATGGTTTAACAGTAGTTTCAAATAAGAGGGTACCTACATAAACAAACATAATGGCTATTATCGTTTATGTGTATATTTATTTGAAGTGAAAGAAACTAATGAAGGATATATTTATTATAACTTGAAAAATAAACTAAACAGTACAAATAGTAAATCGTACTTACATTTACATTACATGTGATTATTAAATCGAGAATCGTCTAAATTGACATTTAAAAACATAAGTTTTTCTACTTTACTTCTGGTTAACCGTGTTCTTTTTTTATTTAAAATTAAACCAGATTTTGAACATGTGTTCACATTTACAATACTTTATGAATATAGTGGTTAAGTTAGGATATACATGGCGATGGTTTTTCCACCATTGTAATGGACTCTCCATACAGGTGTATGTGGGTAATATATCATCAGACAAATACATGTCGACTTTTATATCTCTCGATACAAGTGTATGTTTAGATGAGTCATGTCCAATTAATTGATCAAAAATACAGCATGGACTTAAGCCATCTTTATCGGTTTCTTTTTCTTGTACTGGTTGATTTTCAATAGTACAATCTTCTTGTCCTTTAAGCAGCTTCTTAACTCTTTCTTTTGTTTTTTATAACTAGGTATTTTGATTAATGAATGAGTTTCGATTTACAATTGATCTGCAGAAAATCCCTGAACCTTAAATCGTTAATCCATAAATGTACATAATGACAATGTGCCACTCTGTTCTATCACTCTAAATCTTTTTGCTAAACCCGATATTACTTCTTATTTATTTTATTGTAATAACTGTTTTATTTTAATCATGTGTACTTTTGCTATATATTGTACTCTTTTGTACTAAAATTTTGACTAGTCTGATAAGATTTATACATTTTTTTTTCTTGTAAAAATTGTGTAAACTTTGTGGATGAATAAATTCTATCTATCTATTCTACTAATTGTACTACGTCGGATACTATGAATGTAAGGTTACCGTTTGCTAAAGTTTTATTCCAAGATTCTTGCAGGCAGCGTACCATAAGAATCACTGAACTACCCTTCAAGTATTTTTGGCCACTCATTGTACTTGTTATTTCTTTAAAAGACCGTAAATTTTGGGAAAGTTGAGAAAAAATTATCCAGTGTTCAGGATTTAGATTTGGTCTAAGTCTGTATTAACTAATACCAATGTGGAACGGATTGCCTCTTCTAACTTGGTCATTCTCTTTAACATGTAACAGGTGAAGTTCTACCTAGTTTCCACGTCTTGGATCGGCCGTTTGGGAACTTTGTTATGTTGTAATTGATACTTTAAAAGCCTTTCTGAAATTAAGGTACTTTTTTTAAAATGTGTTTTTTGCCGAATTGTCGAAAAAAGGACTTTTTATTTTATCTATTTGTACACGACAGCATTTAAGTGCGTCCTCCACCAATAAATTTAACTTATGAGCAAAACCATTTAAATGTTTTCATTAAAAAACATATTTAATAGCTTTGACCATATTTGAGGCATTATCAGTTACTGCAAAATTTACTTTTCGTTTTTGACCCCACTGATTAATAATTTCACTAATTTCAAAAGCGATGTTTTCTGAATTATCGTTTCCAGAAAAATGACAGCAGCCTATTAAAACCGTTTTAAATTCTAAATTTTCGGTTAAATATTGTCCTGTTAATGCGATGTAACTCTCAGTTACTCCAGATGTCCAGAGGTCAGTAGTAATACAGATATTTTCTACTTCTTTAACAACTTGTGATCTAATAATTTACTTAGTTTTGATATAACCTTCCTGAAGTAATGAACCTGACAAAGTTTTTCTTGTTGGCGGATTATATCCAGGAATCCACCCTGCAAACTTTTTAAAAGCTCGTTCTTCAACTATGGAAAACGGATGAAACGAGTCTGCATAGGTTTAGTAAAAATCTATCTCTATTTGTTTCTTTTGTTCTAAACTAATATTTTTATTAATGGAAGTATCCATCACCTTTTGACGCTTGGGTGACAGTGGCAGTATGTCAGTACTTGTAGTAGAAGTAGTCGAAATGGACAGAAATGCGACAGGAGAAGTTTCAATCATTGCAATATTCAGAAAGTGGACCATAAAAGCTGCATCTTCTACAAATGTGCATTTTTTGAAAATAAAATTATTATTCTTTTACTAGGTCAATAATTTTGACTAAGAAAAAGAATTCTTCATTGAATATTTACAATAAATAAATCCTTTGACGAACTATCAATAAAGATTTCAACTCGAAAATGCAGATCAATCGTAAATCGAAACTCATTCATTAATCAGAATACCTAGTTATAACAAACAAAAGAAAGAATTAAGAAGCTGGTTACTTCTATAAAAAAAGAAAAACAAGATTGTACTATTGAAAATAAACCAGTACAAGAAAAAGAAACTGATAAAGATTAAGTCCATGGTGTATTTTTGATTAATTAATTGGACATGACTCATCTAAACATACACATGTATCGAGAGATATAAAAGAAGTCGACATGTATTTGTCTGATGATATGTTACCCACAAAAAATATCGAACGAAGGTTGGAACTGTCCCTTACAGTGGTGGAAAAACCATCGTCATGTATATCCTAACTTAACCACTATATTCATAAAATATTATAGTATTTTAACAAAATCTGTTCCTTGTGAAGGTCCTGAAATGTTATGTGTGGTCGATCCTATTGTATGGTTGTGAGACATGGACGTTAAAAACCACAATGCTAAACAAGTTAGAAGCATTCGAAATGTGGTGCTATAGACGAATCCTAAAGATATCATGGGTTTCGCACACTTCCAATGAAGATGTTCTTCAAATGATCAACTCAGAACGTCTGCTCATAAACATCATAAAGAGGAGAAAAACAGAATACTTCGGCCATATAATTAGAGGACCCAAATACCATTTACTTCGCCTTATAATACAAGGAAAAGTGGAAGGAAAGAGATGGATTGGTCGAAAGAAACTTTCATGGCTGCGTAATATTAGACAATGGTGTGGTTTCACAGTAGAAGAATTATTTCGCGCAGCAGCCGACAGAGAAAGGTTTCAGGAAATTGTAAGCATGATGACGGCCAACGTCTGAATACGGACACGGCACCCAAAGAAGAAGAAGTTCCTTGTGAAATCATGTTCAAAATCTGGTTTAATTTTAAATAAATTTTTAAATGTCAATTTAGACGATTCGCGATTTAATAATGTGTAATGTAAATGTAAGTCCTATTTGTATTGTTCACCTCTACTCGTTACCGCTGTCCCTACTTTGATTCAGTGCTTTGACCACGCGAGACGAGACGTCGCCAAATAATTTTGTATGAAACTTTTTTATTGTGGCGTCATATGCAGTTTATTATTTTTATTGGGAATTAGGCACAATGTGACTTTAAAATAACCTTATTTTGATGCTTAGATTTTTAATTCGGAAATCGTACTTAAAATACGAAACATTAATAAATTTTATTTATATAAAACGATTTCCGAAGTGGAAATCAAAATGTTATATTACACTTATTGTAAAGTAAAATTGTGGCATATTCCCTATAAAAAACAGTAAGCTGCCATTAAATCCATTTCGTTCAAATTTGATTATCTTCGAACATTGTTGAAATGCTAAAAAGACAACAGGTCAAACAAAACCAATAAGTTCCAATATATTTTGCCTATTTTCATAGGCATCATAAGGGAAAGCTAAAATGATGGTCATTAGGTATATTAAGATATACCTAATGACCATACATAATACATTATCATGAATTAGTTTTTTATACTTTCTAAGTGAAGATGTTTGTCAAGATGTTTGATTGGAAAGCAATTATACATAACAATAAGTGAAAACTAAAATTATGGCACAGAATCTACACATACTTGACGTTTACAATTTATAATAATGTGTATAATGTTAAACTAAATAAATATTTTTTATTATATCTAATATATTCGTTAATTGAAGTAAGGTTAGATATTTATTTGATGTACAATTTTGTTTTATATAAATAGTTAGAACAAAAATTTTTGGTCATTATATATTGGATATAGTAAAAGGAGTTTATTTTGTCTGTCAGCTGTTTACCCAATTATTTCGCTCATTTGAATTTAAATTTAAGACAGCTGTTATCAAATAATTTTCTTTATATACACACAAACATATATATATATATATATATATATATATATATATATATATATATATATATATATATATATATATATATATATATATATATATACCGTGCGTTTAAAAAAAATTGTTTGAACTTCTGGTCTCTTTGTTTCGCAGTTATTATTTAATTTGTTGTATATATCTTTTGAATTTGTGATTTATACGTTATTTAAGTCCTATTGTTTCAGAATCTTACCGCATTACGAGAAGCTTGTACTCTTTTGGAAAACCAGGTTATTGAGTATGAAAAATTGGTCGCCTCGTTTCAAAATAAAGAAAAAGATTTGAATCTTAATACAGAAAAATTAATAAAAGATTTGTGCGATGTAAAAAGAGAACTACAAGAGACCAAAAAGTTAGTTAACGAAGAGAAATCTTTGAAGTTGTTTGCTGAGACCAAAATAAAGAAGTAAATATAGTTTTAACTAATATTTGTATAGTATACATCCTATCCTAGTAATAACCTATTTTACGGTTAAACGTATGTTGTAGAGTTTTAGCGTTTTCATTGTGTTCTGCATCAATATGTATAAGTTACGGTTAACCCCGAAATTGGGTAAAACTAATTTTCCGGTACTTTCCGTGTTATCCAAATTGGCTGGATAAAAGGCAAAGGAGATTGATAAATTCTTGATTTATCCGGATCATTGTAGATATATCCAATGTAAAATGTATAAAGCAGCCCATTATAAACTTTGGTATAAATACCACTAGTTGCGTTTAAATATTTGTTTTCTTTTTTTTATATTAAGAGTCTACTACAGCGATTAAAATCATGTATTTTTAGTCAAAATCAGTAGGTTATTTATTTGAACAGGATAATTATATTATTAACTGGATACTATACCGAATCGAGAAATATTCACAAATATGTAGCTTATCCACTATGCTTGGATAATTATAACTCTATCTGGGATCTAGTGTTATCCGATATTCGAGTTTTAACCGTAACATATATACTATTCAGAATTCATTAATATATGATTTATTGCATGTTGATGGGTTGGTGGTGTTGGTTTGTTGTAAGTTTCTAACTAATTAGGCAATCCAATCCACTACTTTCTTTAATCTAATTTAATTTTATTTATTCTGGTCTTGTAACCAGTTTTTTGCTATTTCTTTTATGCTCTTGGTTTTTGTTGTATGAGCTTAGCTTCTGATTTTTTTTGATTTGGCATGTGTTTGAGACTTTGCTATATTGTGTTATCGAGCCATCGAAAACTTAGTGACTATCATTACATTACAAGAATATATATATATATATATATATATATATATATATATATATATATATATATATATATATATATATAGTGGTTTAGGTAGTGGTTTATAATCAATGATTAAAGTTATAAGAAAAGTTCCTACTACTTAGACGTTTTCTAAGATATCTCGGGACAGGAAAAATATATCGACATGTGATTTTTGTCATTTTGTTGATAATTTGTTTTATTTTCAGTACCCTTTAATTTACTCAATTTACATAATTTCTGTACATAATTACACGGTTTTTCTCGAGGTTACTTTTACAAATTTTTATTTCGTACCTGTATTAGGTACATATATCATAATCCATTTCCGAGATATGGTCGAGATACACTTACATAGATCACTTGAAAATTTCACACTGTTATGTAAATGAATATGCGTTCTGGAAGTGAATACTTACAATCGAAATTTATATTTAAATCTGTATGCAAGTAAAATCCCATTATTTTGGCGTTGTGCTTTGTTGAAGAGCACTTTCACTTAATTCTAACCTACCTGAGTTATAATTAACTTCACAGCTAACCCTAATTATGATATATTCAATGGCTCTTTATCTGGTATTATACATTACATGAAAGGCATGTTTTCACAAAGAAACATTCTATACTTGTCTCAATATTATATAATAACATATAGTGTTATTTATATTTTGTTTTATTTTAGATTAAAAGAAGATATAGATTGCGTCCAAAACGAATGTATATCTTACAAGCAACAGAGCTCTGAATATAGACAGTTTTCGACAGGTTTGTCAAGTGAATTATCTGCAACAGAAGAAAAGGTCAGTGGTCTTGAACTTACGGTAAAGGCGTACGAGCGTCAAATTGAAGAGATGAGGTAAGCTTTATTTAATACTTAAAAGTAAAAACTATATAGTTCTTCTCATGTCTTTTAATGCGAAGCTTCTAGACTGGCGTTGTCGTACCTTTTCTCTATATAGTTATACTTAAACCTAAGATCAATACTATTATAGTAGGCACGTAATTTCGTTTGAAAATTTACGGGAACAAGAGCGAGTAAGACACTATGAAATTGGCAACAGTATTAGAGTGACCATTATGATATTCTACTGAACAGTAGCGTCGATATCTAATTTTAAATAAATAAAAGTTATTATTGGATTTTAAGTATAAATGGAACAGTCGCATGTCTTCAAATTATGTGGGTATCAGTAAATATTTTATTTTACCAAAAAGTGTCATTTTCTGTAAGGTTTAAATAAAAAATATGGGTGTTATCAATTTGTTATACACCTATATAATAACACTAATCGATTCGACTGAACAAAACTTATTGCAAAATAATAATAAATTTCGATTATTATTCCGCCGAGCTTTTGACATCCTCTTCGATGTCTTCTTCAGGGCTTTCGAGGTCTCGGTCTCCTGAGCAACCAAACACTACTGTACTACAATAGTAGTACTGCTTTAGTGCAAGTGTTTTTAGTAAATTATTAGGGAACTGGATGATATGTAATCTGATATTGTCATTAAAGTGCTTTATGGTGTCACCCTTATGGTGGTTCCAAGAAATTGGCCAATAAATTTATCCTTTCCGGTTCTAAAAGAAGGATTTACTGATGTTCCTCCTTCTAAACGGAATTTTGATTTTTATGACAGTGATATGTGGAAATGTAATACACAAAATGTAACAACACTCAGATGCAAAAATTCGATCCATTACATATTTCCTATTTATTGCGAGTTTTAAAACTTAGGACTTGTCATATGGCATATTTAAATTTGGAGAAATCCTGAGTATAAGTACAATTATTAATTTCCATACATTATTTTTACAGTTTTTATGGCAATTCTTATAAACAACAGGAATGTTTTTGTCAAAAATTTAAGTTCAATAAACGCAAGAAATTTATCTGTTGTTATTTTACCAACCAGATCAATTTATTATTAAAACGTTTTATGTTCAGAAGTTTTAATTGTATTAAAATGACGTTAGCACTAACGGATGCTTCAAGAATTGTGGCTTTAGTGACAGATGGTCGTAGCCAATATTATGTCGCCCAGGTACTAGGTGTAATTCGTTGTGCTGTTTAAAGAGCCATTCAGCGGTTTAATCAAAACGGCAACTATACTAGGAGGTCAAGATCAGGCCATAGGAAAGCGACATCCGCACTCGATGATCGATTTTTGGTTTCTTTGTGTTTATGAAATAAACATTGGGTTAAATAACTAACTTTAATTGAGCTGTCAAATCACCTTAACGAAATCCAAAATTGTGAATGCAAGTAGGTGGGCAGTTCGTCGACGACTTCATGAAGCGAATTGATTATCCAGAAGACCATTCGCTATATTCACAACTATCCGTAGAACATCGCAGACCTCGAACATCTATAGGACACACTGGGAAGACGAATTTAAGTTCGGCTATCAAGCCAAAAGAACTTGCCTGAGTGCATTTATTCAGACAATATGGGACGAATTGGCCCAATTTCATGTTCAAAATCTAATTACCACAATGACAAGATTTACGCAGGCTGTTATAAGGGCCTGAGGAGGAAATACTAAGTATTATTAACAAATGATATAAACGTTATTTTATTATAATTGTTTTTTATCAACAAAGCTACTTTCCACTTTTCAATTTTAGAATAATGCCAAATGCTTTTATAAACAATTTTTTCACATACATCGTGTTTTTTATTTATATTTAATGTTCCTCCTTAAACTATGCCCAGTCTATAACTGGCATCTCCAAAAATGTGTCTTATTCTATATAAAATAGACGTGGATCGAATTTTTTGCACCTCAGTGTATTTTATATATTTACTTTTACTGTTACATGCTTTATATCAAATTTACTTTTTTTAAGATCTGAACTTCGTCATCTGAAGCAAGAAACCTCGGATTACTTAACGCAACTTAATAAATCCAAAGAAGTAACATACAAATTAAAACATCAACTAAGTGAACAAAAGGAAGAAAATGAGTCTGTGAAACAGCATTTGCATGAAACACAAAGAATTCTAACAGAAAAATCTAGCTACTATAAAGAGCGAGAGATGAAATATGATGCTACTATCAAGCAACAGATCAAATTAATTGATTATTTGCAATCTAAGGTAAACATAATTATGGAGAATATTATTTATATGTGTATTGTTACTTTAGTGTTTGTCATATTTAGTTGTAAGAATTAAGAATATTTTACATAAACAAATTATTTGCATAATAAAGGAATTATTTAAAATTCCTTGGTCCCGGTTCCTGGGAGACACGTGGATGCCACCAAATGGGCTATCGATTTTGCTAGTTTATTTTTCCATTTAATAATTTCATCTATATAACTTATATGTTTAATACTTTTTACTAAAATTCTTTATCTATTTTTTGTTAATTATATTCTCACATTTTTTTTTCTTTTAATATAGTATATATTAAAGTAAATAAAAAATATTCAAAAACTTTTTTTAGATAGATGAACAAAATCACAAGAAGAAAACTCTGACGGAGGTCATATTCGGTAGTTCAAAGAAAGAAAATCAACCACCTTTATCTCTTTCAATGAACTACAAAGATTTAGAGTATCAGTTGCTAAAAGAACGCCAGAATAACCAGCAACTTAATGAAGAAATATACAAACTGAAAGCTGCTACTATGATTCAGGAATCCAACAAAGTGGCAGATAAAATAAAGGCTGAAAGATCTAAATCGGAAGTTTTATCTCCAAAAAGCAAGGTAATTTTTTTATTAATTATATTTGTATTCATTTGTTTTGATCTTTTTTTCTGTAAAGCTTACATTAGAACTGAGAATACTTAAGGAAATCCATTATTATATAAATAATTTTGTTTCATCACATTCTGGCTTCTTTAGATGTGGAAGTACAACTTTCATTGTTGTGTCATTAGATCGTTGGATATCATGTTGACTACCACATTCGCTATCGTGACTTTATTGACAGCAGCTCTAAATAACGATGTAATTGATTTTCCATACCATTGCCATAGATGTTTCAGCCATGATATTCTTCTTCTACCAGGACCACGATTACCTTGCTTTCCCAGAATGATCAGATGTAAAAGATCATATATTTGAGGGAGTCTCATAATGTGACCGAAGTATTCCAGCTTGCGTTTCTTTATTATATTGACCAGTTGTGTTGTTTGGTTCAGCCGTCTAAGGACCTCCTCATTTCTAACTCTGTCGACCCAGCTTATTTTCAGTAGTCATCTGTATACCCACATCTCAAAGGCTGTCAAGCGTTAAGGATAGCCTCAGTTAGAGTCCACGCTTCCACTCCATACAGCAGGACAGGAAAGGTGTAGCAAAATGTCATTCGAACTCTAAGGTCAATGCTAAGATCGTGACTGCAAAGTACGTTTCTCATTTTTACAAAGGCAGCTCGGGGTTGTTCTATTAGGCTTTTAATTTCTGCGTTTGAATCCCAGCTCTCATTGATATTACTGCCGAGATACACGAGATTCTCTACTCTGTCCAGTGTGGCATCTCCGACTTTTATACCGTCGTCCTGTATATAATTTTGTTCGCTAACTATCATATATTTAGTTTTCTTAACGTTGAGTTTTAATCCATACTGACCACAAGTCTGTTTTATTTTGTTCATTAGATTTTGAAAGTCTTCTCCGCAATTAGCAAGCACTAAGGTATCGTCGGCATATCTAATATTTTTGACGGTTACTCCATTCACAATAATACCTTCGGTTGTCTCCATTGAGGCTTCCTTAAATATTTCCTCCGAATATAAGTTAAAAAGTAAAGGCGACAATATACAGCCTTGTCTCACTCCTCTTTTTATATTTATTTCATCCGACAGTTCTTGTTTAACCTTTATTCTTGCCACTTGATGCCAGTATAGATTTATAATTATTCGTAGATCTTTATCATCCAATCCAGCTGTTTCCAATATTTCTAGCATTTTGTTATGTCGGACTTTGTCAAAAGCCTTTTCAAAATCGATGGCACAAATGTACACATTTTGATTTATATCTCTGCATCTCTGTACTAGCACCTCTATACTAAACATGGCTTCTCTTGTACCCAAGCCACTCTTAAACTAAAATTGAGTATTGCTAATTCAGTCCTTTAACAGCGTGTAAATTCTGCTGTGTATTACTCGCAGGAAGATCTTCAAAACGTGACTCATCAGACTTATTGTCCGACTTATTCCGGCAAAAAATATGTCCAGACTTATTTTTTGCCGTTTGTATTGAACGTTTAACCTCACTTTCTGTTAGATAGACAGATGGACCTGATATAGCAATCGGTGTATAGTGTTCTACTCTCTCATCTTCAAATAATTCAGAAATGTAGTTTTCCCATTCTTTTAACTGTTCATTGATGTCTAATATTCTGTGTCCGTTTCTGTCTTCTATACTTTGGGATACTTGTTTCCGTTTGTTTCCAGCGACCTCTTTTAATTTCTTAAATGGATCGTGTTTATCTTTTCATATTGTTCAATTTCATTACATTTTTTACTACGAAATTGTGTTTTCGCGTGTCTTATCGTCTGCCTGATTATTGCGTGGATCCTCTTGTATTCGTTTTTATCTTTATTTCTGACTTCTCTTCTTTGATCCATAAGTCCTAGTATTTCTTCTGTCATCCACGCTAATTTTTTTCTTGCTTTTATCGCACTCAATTTTGTTTCTTGAACAGTCTCTTAGATGTCTTAAGATGATGTAATTAGTTACTACAATTTTTAAACCGATGAACCAAGAAAAGTAAATATGGAAATATCTACAAATTGCATTTCGAAAGAGCTTGATTCCGTGTTTTAGATTTATTAATTAATAAAGCTTCTAGATAGTTAATTTAAAAATTCCTTCGTTATCGCATTTTAATTTGAAACGTAAAATAACGAAATCATCTATTAAGGCATCAATTACGTATCTTTTAAATCCTATATCATCATAAATGTGTCACCCTATAGTTGGAATATTTTAAAAACCAACGTTTATAATCAATTTAATTTTTAGACTCAAAAAGGGTAGGGGTATACCGTGGGTCAGAATGTGGATCCGACCATCGTTTAGTTATAGCCAACGTGATATTTAACTATCGCAAAAACAATAACACTCAGGTAAAGGGGATAAACGCAAATGCTCTAATTATAAGGGAATAACTGTTACCAGCTCAGTAGGGAAGTTGTACGGTCGAATAATAAAAAAAAAAGAATAGAATCAAAATACAAAGATATAGAAGAACAAAATGGATTTCGTGCAGGAAGATTGTGCACTGATGGTATATTCGTTCTGCAGCAGGTAATTGAAAAACGGAAGGCAAGGAATCTATCTACCCACCTACTGTTTGTAGATTTAGAGAAGGCATACGATACGGTGCCTTTGAAAAAACTGTTTCAAACATTGACGAAAGTAGGTCTCAGTAGAGAGTATGTGAATGCTATCGCAAATATATACAAAAATGCAAGAAGTGTCACTAAAGAAGGAAACTTTATATCTGAATCATTTCCAATAACAAAGAGGCTTAAACAAGGATGTTGTCTATCGCCGACCTTATTTAAAATATATATTCAATCATCGCTAGAGCAGTGGAGGAAACAAGTATCTGGAATGGGAATAGACATAGGCGATGGTAAATGTCTAACAACTTTATTTTTCGCAGATGATCAGGTAGTCATAGCGAATGATGAGGAAGACATGGACTACATTTTTAGAAAACTAAAAAAGAATATGAAAAATGGGGCCTCAATATGATCTAGCCTCAGATCTATAATATCTAAGGAAGGCACTACCAGAAGAGACATCGAAAACAGGACGCAGCAGGGAAAAAAGCGGTTAACATTCTGAACTCTCTGTTATGGTCAAAGATATTAGACAAGAAACAAAATTAACAATCTATCGAACCTTGGTAGAGCCTATTATGACTTATGGGGCAGAAGTTTGGCAGATCACGAAAAAAGATAGAAAAAGAATAGAGTAATAGAAATGGATTTTCTAAGAAAAGCGTGTGGTGTAAATGAACCAAAAAAGATCATACCAGGAATGAAGATATTAGAAGAAGGACAAATACTGTATATTCCAGTGTAGACAGAATTGAAACGAGACAACCAGTGTGGTATGGTCATGTGAAGCGAATGAATGAAGATAGATGGCCAAACAAAGCTTTAAATTACATACCACAACAAAGAACAAGAAGGGGAAGACCATCAGTTGCCTGGGAAGAAAATGTACGACACCTAATGAGAGATAAAGCCATCAAAGAAGACGAATGGATGGACAGAGAACGATGGCGATCGAAATGCGAGAAACGGCAGAGGCTGTAGGAACCTCGCTTTATATATATATATATATATATATATATATATATATATATATATATATATATATATATATATATATTATTGTGATATTTAAAGTCTTGGTGCGCCAAGCAATAATTAGCTAATTAATTTTTGATTAATTAAAATTATTTAAATGATATGATTATGACTCTATCACAATTTTTAATTCTTTTATCTCAGGGTTAAATTCGTGCTTCAATATCTATGCTATTACATGTGAAAGGTAAGGTCCAAAGAATACCGGAATAATAAAGAACACATATGATCTAACACTATAATATATTGAAATAAAAATAATGAAATAATTCACACTTCAAATTCACAAAAGTTTTCAATAAACAAAATCTCATATAATAATTCTCAAAATTTTGTTCTACGTACGTGAACAATCAAAATTAATGGTACAAACAATATTAATTGAAATCTCAAAATCCCAAACTATTCTAACTCTCCTAATCAAAATATTTATATCCTTTCTAAATTACGTGTAAAAATTGTGTTATCAATGAAAGAAAAACTGCAGAAAACAAAACTATCTCTCTCTGATGATGAGTGGTCCAAATCCTTGTTATTTGTAGACTATACTATTTACTCGTGGCCGCTCCCTAAGTAATCAGCAATCTTACAATAAATTATTGCAAGTATCTCGTCCTTAATGATCTCCTTCAAATGCACGAATCGTTCAAATTATGCTAGCTTCTTCTTCTCTCAATAAACTGAATCTCTCGTTGGCCTGAGTGAAAAATGACTCTTGGAATATCTTTTCTTTACGATAAACTGAATCTCTCGTTGGCCTGAACAGTGACTCTTGGAATATAAGTAGAAAAATATGACTTACAATATTTTACTGGATCAGCTTCTGTCAGATACACTAACTACACGAAAACTCACAAACTTTCACTGCTACTGCTTCCTACCTCTGGGAAACTACCCGAGAACAACGGCCGTTCGCCTTGCACCCATGGAAACCAACAACTATCTTTTCTCACTCCAAAATCTAGCTAAACTTTCAATCCTACAAACCTATCCCACCTTTTTCAATCTCCGCCAATCAAAACTCGTCACAATTTCCCCATTTTTTCATTTCGATAACAAACAACTTTTTACCTATAAATATAAAATTTCCTAAAACTTATTTACAAATAATATTTTTCTACAATTCTTAAAAACTAACAAAAACCTCTTTCTCAAATCTCTTCTATTGTCTTTAATCACTGCGTTAATGTATTTGGAAAACCCGGTTCAATTGTTCTTTGGATTTCACTTAAAATTATGCGGGTCACTCAAGTATAGTATAACAAAAGAAATAATTTATGCATAGCTTACATTTTGTTTAATACAGGTAATCCAAAAATTTAAAAACGTTCCTTCTTCGAAATGTTTGTTGGATATTATCCTACTTATCTGAATTATTTTAATGTTTTTTAATCAAAAACTAATTTTTACCCATGAGCTAATCAATTGTATTAATCACAAGTGTCGCCTCTGAGCGGTGTTAACTTATTTTAGTTCCTCATCTACGTTGAAACAGGACGTTGTACTTTATTTTAAATCATTTCGGCCTTCAAATTCATTTCCACATCATTTAAAATTGTAGCATTTGCACAGTAAATATTATCATTAAAATTAATATTTACTGAACATCCACTAGTTCAGAGTATCCAAGATATATTATATACCGATTTCTTCATGGTCGAGAAACTAAAATCTCACTTATCTGGCTTCCATCGCACATTGGCCTTGTCGGTAACGAAACTGCTGATCATCATGCTAAAGAAGCATTTACTTCATCATTTAGCCAAACAACGGTCCAACTAAACAAAGACCTTAAAGCTAAGTTTAAAAAGTCAATCCTAGAATCTTGGCAAGCTCATTGGAATAGCTTTGATACAGCCCTACACAGAGTTCAACCTACAATTATCCGGCCAAGTCCTACTAACCTCACTCGTAAAGAATCACAGATAATAAGTCGACTACGAATTGGCCATACAAGATTGTCACATGGCTACTTAATGTCTCCGATGAACGTCTAACATGTGAACAATGCAATTGTGCTCTTACGTTAAACCATATATTAACGGACTGCCAACAGTTTACCAGCTGTGCCCGGAAAAATAACTTGAAAACATCGCTTGCAGATATTCTAAACTAAATATGTGAATACACCAAAGTGCTACAGTTCCTCAAAGAGACTAATGTTATTAATACAATTTAATATCTATTTTGTAATTTCTTATCAGAAAAAATCATCTGTACCGTGCCAACGGTCTTAGTTGTCGAGGCACTTAAGCTAAATAAAAAAAAATCATTTCAGATCGTAAAGTAAAAAAAATGGTTATTATTTTAAAAAGTCTATTCACATTTTCCAGAAAAGATTACAACATAGTGGTGTCAAGTTAATTTTGCTTGAGGAAGTTTGAATTTGATTTTAGGTTTCTTTTAGAACAAGTACCTTGTAGGCAAACGATATAAAATATTGGAAATAATTTCGAACAACATTATTGTTTAAATTCGGCAAACTTTAATGAATGTGGGTCTTTTGGCCGTCAGATTTGGTTCCAGCTATATGTTATTGTTATATAATATTAATTGGAATTAATTCTGAGATGAAAAATATTAATATTAAACATTAATGGTTGTTATATGATTTTAGGCAGCGATACAACTACTTGTTAATTCTCCAAGTAAACAACAAAAAGAATTTAACAGGCAAAATTCTCAACGAAGGATGCATCACAATATACCTCACAGGTTTGTTGTTTTTTTTTGCTTAATCAGTATTTGACAAATGTTTTCATAATTGATGTAAACCTTATCAGCTATTTAACCCGGTACGCTTTTTCTTAAAATTTGGTTGACAATTGAAGGGTGGTCCAGACTGAAATATTCTTTTTCGCTTTTTGATCGACTGTAGTGGCTCTCGTCCCTAGGGAAGCTATTGATGTCATCTTTTACCATCTGTTTTTCATGAAGAGTGTACTTAATTTTTTTAGCACCGCCTCGTTTATCCTTGAAGGTTGTGTGCCTTCCATTTTTTGCCTAACAAGCGTAGTGTAGTAATCTTTTGCTGACTTAAAGCAAATTTTTCCAAAAACTTTTTACAAACTCTTTTCACGTTACCTTGCCCATCTGGAACTGCAAAAGCTACGGTACATTGTCGTCTACTTTATGACGAATCATCATAACTACCATGACGGTGACGTTGAACTGGTAAAACTTGCAATAGTTTACCATGAGATAGCTGCCTTGATCGTTGAGTTCAAGGCCATGATACAAGTCGAAAACCGTAATCTTCATATCAACCACGTCCCTACAGCTAAATTTACATTTGCGTGTGATCTAAAATAGAAAAGTTTCATGATAATATCATATCAACAAAGCCAAAGTAACAATAAAAAGGATTTTAGGTTGTAATATCGAATAGCATTAGTAGCTATTTACAAGTTAGACTATCGGACGGTCTAACATTTTAAGCGAAATATGTGTTAAAAATCTCGTACTAACCTCACGTTTTGGAACGGCGTTTCCAGGTTTTTGCAGCTTCACATTTTTGTGTAACATAGGGTTTTTCCGTCAATCCAGCTTCACTCTGTTTTTTCCTTATTGATTTCGTATTCTTTTTATTGCCAAACGACTCGATACTGTTGACAACCCGTCAACCTATATTCGCTATGTGCAAGTTCCGAAGAGCGACACCTAGTGGCAGAAATCATCGGAAGGCGTTCGCATTATGCACTATTAATATTTTAGTGTATCTTATTATTAGCTGCAAATAAAGTGACTTGTTTATTTAATACAATAATTATTATAATTATATTAATAAAAAACTTTTGAACTAAACTGAACTAAAAATTTTGAATTTATTTTTAACTGTAAAAATTCATAAGTATATTTTAGGTTATAAAGATTATATAGAGATTATAAAAAGGTAAACATTGTATGTAGTAAATAAAATTATTTATTAAATTGCAGTATTACTATTAATATGGATACAATAATAAAAGCTGGCTTCCAGGAAATAAATCATAAAATACCTTTTCAACCAACTACTGAGTCAAAGGAAAATGCTTTAGTTGTGGCAAACAATAAATACAACTAATTTTTATTCCCAATCATATTTATTAAATATATATAATATAATTATGAAAATGCCATAAAGACAATAATTTCTACTAATTATCAATAATTGTTTTCATTTTTGTCAGCAAATATTAGGCTGTAGATTTACTTGTGTCAGCGAGGTTCACCGCAGAGCATAAGGTTAGCTTCCCCCAAGGCATAGAAACTCATGTCACCTACAGTTCATTTTAGAGTCAAACATTTCAGTCTACTCGACTTTAAAGAGTCTGGCGATCGATGGCACGCTAGCCCATTCTTGGTAACTAACTTTGTTTTTGTTGTTTAATCCCATGCTAGCCATCATCTAAAAGATATTATTAAGAAGTTTCGACTCAGTTAAGAGGTCATCTTCTGATTTGGTTTTTGTTGTTTTGCCTTTATCAAAAACTGGATAAAAATTATCCGAGTTTTTTCTTTTAAGAAGGGGCATTGTAGCGTTTTTTTTATTTAAAGTGTATAGAAAAGTTTCTGTGGTACGTCCCTGTTGTTTTGGCCAAGAAATCGATCGATTTAATATAACTACGGAGAAGTTAAATGTAAATATTTCAAGTTTTTTTGACTAGATTTCTAAAATGCGTAATAACACTGGATATATTTTTTGTCTGTGTTTAGATTCAAATATCGAACCTTTTGTTATAAGTCAGGTAAAACTCAACTTTAAAATACGCACGTATTTTGTTAATTTGTATTATGTAAATTTATGATGCCCCCTGATAAAAAAAAGGTTTTATTTGTTTTCTTCGTTTAAAAACGAAATAAACATGAATTCCCCTAATATTATAGTTGTTTTTCGTTATTAGACGAGGGTCAAAAAAAGGGAATATTTGTTTGTTTAGGCAATAAAGGAACATTTAAAAGTTGTTTTTTTTGTCGATACGAGCGAGGGGATATTGTTTTGGTTCTTGAGTTTGTGGGGACAGGTTAGCTGCAAGACGGAAGGGAAATTTTTGGCGAGTTTCTTGTAAAATGTAACGAAGCAAAAGGGTCGACATTTAAGTTCCAAGCAGGGCTGACGTGCTACGATGTAGAGTGGAAGAAAAGATTCGAATGGAGAAGACGTTTTGATTTGTCGGTAAAGAGACCGGCAAAATTGGTTGAGAATATTAGACTCTATGTAATATGTCAGTTTAGAAAAAAGTCACCACTATTTCTATTTTTGTCTTTGGAGTACATTAGAAGATTTGTATAGATACCGTTTTGAAAAGTATTATATAGGATGTCCCTTAGCTTTGTTGTCGTTTTTCTTGTTTGATACAACCCATCTACGTCAGATCGGCGTTCCAAATTATGGAGATGGTCTTCTTTTGTTCCTGAGTATGGAAATGGTTCCCCTTGTTCGAGAGTTTCGTCCTTGCAGTTTCAGTACCAGAGAGGTAGCAAGTTTCAAAGTTTAAATGCGAAATATGTGAATTTTAAGGTAACAATTCAATATATTAATTTTTCAAAGTAAAGACATATTTTTTGGCTAAAGTAATAATTGCTTTCATTCTTTGTCATCAAAATTAAATGTGATACCTGACAGCAAGCTTAATTTGTTTTTTTGTTATGACAATTTTAATTTGATTATTATGTAGAAACGATATTTCATATATAAGGTTAAATTTATATGTTTTCATTAACAAGGATCCTCAATTTTTGATAATCTAATTGGCCATAATATAGTAAACAAAGAACATGTAAGTTTTTGTTATTTGTATTATGTTATATGATATGTTTCTTTTATAATATGTATTTTTGATCTGTTTTGTTTGAGACAAGAATAAATGTTTAATTTGTTTCTCTGATCTATTTTGAGTTTTATTTGAAAAAGATATTTTTTTTTATATTTTTTATGTTATACAATTATTTCCCTAGTTACAACTAGTGGTTGTAATAGGTATAATTGGGCACCTCAAGTGGCGCCCTATATTAAATTTCTTGAGGTGTTTCCGTTTATTTTCATTCTGTTTGTCCCAAGAGATTTGTATAAGTACCCCTTTATTTCTTTTCTTGTAGTTGCCCGAATCTAACCCCCAATATCTTTAACTTATCCACGACCCAGCTCTCCAACGATTATCTCCGTTTCGATTATTTTGTTTGCCCAATCTTGTCCCCCATATTCTTACCCTGTGGTAAGCAAAATAGTCGTTACATACTAATACACAGCATATATGTATTTTGTCATCAACTATATAAATTCAGGTATTTTATTTAAAATATTATAAGTCCTCAGACGTTGCATTATTCTTTCTACATGTATCCTGACTCTAGCTATATGATAAGTTTGCTCAGTTTCATCTTCTGCTCAGTATCTGCCAATAATACATCATCTTCTTCTAGTAAATCAATTAAACCTGATTCAATTGTTATTTGAGAATCACTTTTTCTACCACCTGCTCCTGGTGACTTAAAACAGATGAAGCCGCTGGGAGTAATACCAATTAATACTTTGAGAGTAAGTCCTTTTTTGTATTGAGAATAACAATACACACGATCATCTACTGCAGAAGGCACATCAATTTGAAATTCAATACAATCAATAATGGCACGAGTATTGCTATATTTTGGTTTGAAGTAACCTGACATTGTTACTCTGACACTTGATTTATCTGGCCAAAACACTACTGTTGCAGTTACTTCAGCTAGATTATCTAAAGTTGAATAAAAGTCCTAAATACTGTTTTTCGATGAATAGAAAACATTGAACTTATTGCTGCAAATGTTAAGGCAGTTTTAATTCTTAAAAGAAAAATAAATAGCCTCCTTTTTTTTAGATATCTGAACATTTTTTTAATATTGTATTTTATTTAATAAATCGTTAAAAGTATCAAAAGATACTCCAGCAAGTTAACTGTTCATCACTTGTAACAGTCCCTTCGAAACGGATTTCATCACTATTAAATTTATTGTATGGAAAATCAGATCCCACTGCTGTATCCACAAGAACTTTTGGTGGTGTACCACATTTTTTATGACATTTTTTTTCTATTTATTTTTAATTCACTTTGTGGTACATTAATTTCAGTTTGAGTTTCTTCTTCGCAAGAATAAGGTCCAAAAATAAATCTATTACAACACAAAAATTTTTCAACACTATTACAACGAACAAAAATGTAAACTTGACAAGTTTGGTCACTTGTATTGCCACCTGTACCAGCTACTGACTCATCTCATCTTGTATCGTATCACACACATTTTCACTCATTAAATTGGCTGCTATATCTGACTTCAAATTCGGTTCATTCACAGAACTGATGGGCTTATTATCTACAATTAATGGTGATCTTTTTTGTAGACAACGTTTTTTGAAACGCTCATGTCTATTTAGAGATGCATTTTGAATTAATTTATTCTCCAACAAAGTGAACACTGCAAAGAATATGAAAATGTGTAGGATTCCAATTGAAATCATAATCACTGTAAAATACAACATACATTAATAACTGCATGGCAATATTTTGGAGCGACATTAACGCCCGATTTCATAATGACAACCTAAAGTACACTTTAACTAATGTTCACTTTAGACTAAATTGAATATTGTATCTTTTGTCAATCCAAACCTTTCAAAGAAACATACATCATATTGGTTTAAATAATTAATTCTTTTCCTCTCAACTTTTGGGTGGCGTAATCCGAACTTGAAGAAATAT